TGAGGTACAGCCACATGTAACACATCACTTCAGCCTCGTGCAGGTTTTGAATGGCATGAACCATACTTGAGGAGTTTAGGTTGGGTAACCTAAGTGGCTGTGCAGAAAGCCTTGGCAGTGTTACGCCGAGCGTTGCATGGAAAATTGTCACACTTTTTGGGTCAAAACTGGTTCAGAGGCTGGTCTTCCGGAACCATACCTAAATTTTCAGTTTGTTCTAAGTATCATTGTTGTGATTGCTTAGGTAATAAATTTGTTGTAGTGGTAGGGTTGCCGTTGACCCAGTTCGACACTGTGGGCAACTCCTTCCTCACACATTCTTTCCCGCCCAACCATCGCTTACTACTCTTCCTACACTTGCGTACCCTCAGATCACCCCGTGGATAGAAAAAAAAAAAAAACAAGCTCCTGGATTCATCCTTTCGCGAACCAGAGAAACTGACCCAATCAAAGCGCCAAAATTCAGTAATCCATCATGCGTGTCATCTCGATTCTTGGTTTTATGCTCTCCGCCCTCACCGCCACTGCCCTCGCACAGGACGAAGTTGAGATTATTAAGGAGAAAGTAATTGAGTGCGAGAGGAAGACCCAGGTTTGCGGGCCATCTTGTTCGTTTGCCCTGTCCTTTATCGCAAGACTGACTAGTGTCTGGGTTGAGCGAAATACAGAAAGGTGATACAATCAATGTGCACTACCGAGGTACCCTAAAGGACACTGGGGATCAGTTCGATGCTTCCTACGACCGTGGCCAGCCATTCACTTTCACTCTCGGTGAAAACAGAGTCATCCAGGGATGGGAGAGGGGCTTGTTGGATATGTGTATTGGGGAGAAGCGGATGTTGACCATCCCATACTCTCTTGCGTATGGCGCTGGTGGGATGCCACCTGTTATTCCGGCAAAGTCAGACTTGGGTACGTGCTCTCTGGTTCCTCCATATTCCAGTGCTCTGATAGGGTGATGCCATAGTTTTTGAGACCGAGCTTTTGGGAATCCAGGGGTTTAATCCTGAGAAACAGGAATTGTAGTTGCATTCATGTTGTGTTTTATGTCTCATGCCTTACGTGCTTTAGGATACGGAGGGTGAATACCGGTACTATGCTTGTTGTGAATAAAATATAGGTCATGTTTCGTTGGCATAACTTATATTATAGTTTTACCGCTGTCTCTATTGTATCCCGGACTTCTGAGCTGTAGTGGGGGAAGATGAATTTACTGTCCCTTTGGCAATGTAGTGTCAATCGGTCTTTTGCCCATCAACTCCATATCGTAATTGCGGATTAATATCAGTTCAGGCTGGGAAACCTCCCGACAACGGTCGTCTATTCCAATTGTCCTCAGCCTTCTTCAGAGTCATCTATACTCGAATTGCCCGTGCGAGGATCCCCGTTACCCCCGTAGCCGGAACATTACCGGGGATCCCCATCTGCTCCACATAAAGGTACTGCAGTTTATCAGCGGAAGGTTTCTCCATTTCCTAGTTAACGCAGCCCACCCTCTTCCTGGTAACAGACAGCTTCCCGACCTTCACAGGTAATTTCAGGACCACTCTGGAGTCTTATAGTTACACGATCGAGTCGCTCACCTTTGGCACCTTTCCGAAGTATCGTCGGGCCATATCAGTGAAGTGACGAACCCAGGGTGGGCGGAGATATGCATACGTGACATATGGTGGACCGTCCATGAGAACATCGATTACTGTGGCGATAGAAGTGCGCCGAAGAACTGGAGGCGTACAGTTGTCGAAATAAGTCCTCGTACGGTTCCCCCGGCAAACAGACCACCACCCGAAATAGTAACCATGACCACGCAAGAAAGAGAGGAGGGAGGGAAAAAAATATAAACTCAGTTAAAAAAGAATAAGAGTAGATAAAAAGCAACAATTTAACGAGGCTATTATTTTGGATGACTTCTATGTGCATCCAGTACAGGTTGGAGTCTCAGGAATTCTAGCAATCTATCTATCTAGTTAATATCTCTTGGAGGATAAGCTCCCACACCTGCTTGGTTTCCTAGAATAACTCAGAAGTACTATGAGGCCTTGTCCTGGACTTAGAGAATTGCTTCCTACAGGATTTTTTGAAAAGTTTCTACTTATTCTTAATTGGGTTAATGTTACATATATGAACACACAGAGCTCGCCCATACAGAGACCTCCTGAAAGCTGCAAAAACTTCAGAGGCAACATTCTCCTCTGGTCTTACCATTGGGGCTGTACATCTTAATAATTTGTTGTCAGACCTCTGCATCCCATTACTCCAATGAAATGTGAAAATAAAGTATGCTTGATAATATTATATATTTCATCATCATCCATCCAACCAAAGGCTGTTTGCAGGGCATATGCCAGTGAGACAGGACCTCATGCCATGTCTGAAGAGTTGAATAGAGTAACTCAGATGAGTAACCATAAAACTACAGACTAAGCAAGATTGACTATCTTGAACATAGATAGAAAGTGTTGAAACAAGATCACCAACAGTCCAATAAGTTAATAGAATATACCAGTAAGGATGTAGCCTGTGGCTCAGTCTAGTACTCACACAGTAGTGAACCAACTAGAGCCCTCTATCTGTAGTTAAGCAACTTTTCCATGATGTTAACCAGTCTGATTATAACAGAAAAGTTCTTAGGCTTGATATAGTTAAGTTGTAAAGTCAATGCTGTAGGGATAAGTCTCTGAACAGAGGTGATGGCAATTTGTAATGATCCTAGGTTATAGAGCTATGGCAAACTTGTAACGGGGGCTCCCTCAGGTAGATGGCTCCCAAGGATGCGACCGCACTAAACTTCCAATCTCTTGAACACAGCTCTTGCAAAAGTGTAAAGAATAAAAGTAAACAGTAAAACTTAATATCGTTAAGCTCAGGCTTATCTCAATTAAAGTCTCTCGAGAGGATGTTGATTCTGTCGGGGTAAGAGAGTTCTCGTATAATCTTTAAGTAGTCAGACTTATACCAAAAACTCCCCCATCAGGTTACCCTGACCAACATGAGTATGCCCTTCTCCGTAAGGGTTGCCCCGGCACCATTACCGTGTCCCCGAAGGGCCATAGGTGTCAGCGCACTCTAGCAGAAATCTCCTTTATGCACATCAGTTCCTGCAAGATGTTTATCAATACACCTGCCGGAGTGAAAACCTCTGCGCATCGGTGTCTCGTCAGTGGCTAACTGTCGAGATCCTTAGGAAAGCTAACTAAATGACTCTCTACCCATATGCTATGACCTATGCAAGCACTCGTAGACATCAGCTGTCTTCCGGCTAGGTTCTATCTTTCTTGATTGCGAACTTAGGGGGTCTACGACGCTCCCTCGGAGAGCTGTGTCGGCGGCGGGACCTATAGGCACTACCCATGATCCCTTACCCCCGGCACACCACTCACCGTGATAAGTGTCATGCTATTAGAGTCTTCAAACAACGCACAAAGAGCCTACGACAAAGGGGCACGTGTAGGCTTGATTGGCGTAAAACCTTCCCAAATGTCTCCGGCACTACCCGGGACTACTCTGGGGACCCTTGCGGATAGCTCACGCTAACTCCGTCAGTTTTGGTCCGTTTTACTCCGTTCCTTTTGGAGAAGGTACCTGACCTTCTCACCTTGGCCCCCGTATATATCCTGCGAACAGCCTCTGGTCGGACGGACGGCGACGACGCATACAGTGTTATGGACATGTCTTCATAGATTCCATTTAACTAGCATAATGGCAACTCCACCCATTTTGGCCCATGACGCCCGGGGCGAACCCTGGGGCCGCAGGTACCTGTTAGGAATAATTCTACCAAGTTACAGCTTGTTCGGAGCACTATAGCTCCTCCTGTAGTCTTCCGATCAAAGTGCAATCAAGTGCCCGTCAATCGTCATTGCGTAACAAACAATCCGAACATTTCCCGAAATTCCTCCGACAATATTTCTGACGGAAGGTAGGGTAATAGTGTCTCAAAGGTAGGGTAAGTGTATCCACCGTAACACGAAACCAGGCTCCATAGTAGGGTAACGTGACTTCCTTGGGTTAGGTAAACTCACCCGGCCTTCTGACCTATCCATAAGCTAGAGCGGACATTGTCACGTTATTACCACTACTTAGGTACACCTATTCCTTAAGTACCTTCTGTTCTTAGAGATTTCCGCACCATCAGATATCTCTCGGATATGCGCCTGCATATCCACCTCGTCTACCATCTGACCTCTTGGTCTTATGTATGGGCGTAGAGGTAGGTTACCATAGCTCTATATCGTAGGGTCGTTACATCACTCCCCTCTTCTCTAAGGACCGACCCGGTCCGCTAATGTCGTCTTTTATTTCCCCGGTTCGGTTCGCCCTCAATTCTATGGTCTCTGGGTTTGTGGGGATACCGATTGTGGAAATCCTTCATGGCCTGTAAGCCGGTGTCTTCTAGCATCTCATATGGCTCCCAAGAGTTCTCCTCTATGCCATAGCCTTCCCATGAAACTAGGTACTCAATGATGCGATTAGGAAATTTGGCTTTCATATTTCCGTACCATTGACTATCTACGACTCCCTTGATAACATAACTGGGCTCATTGTCTACTATCTCTGGGACAGGGACATCCTTAGTCCTTCTACCACTTGGGTCCTCACGATAGGGTTCTCAGAGTCCGACATTGAATACCGGATGGATTGACCAACGGGCAGGCAATTGGAGTTCGTAAGCTCGATTACTGACCTTTTGCTTGACCACAAAGGGTCCAAACATTCGGTGGTCCAGCTTCTCCATAGGTCATTTAGTGCGGATGTTGTTTCGATTTAGCATCACACGATCAGCCTTTTTTGCCCTGCCATTTGTGACATCTTCCATCGTAACGTATTCAGGTGATGGCAACCGTTTCTGGTCATGCCACTTCCTTTGTCTCTCTTGAGCTCCCTTAAGTGTATCTCGGACTTCTTGCCAGACACCTTCCCAATTCCTTACCAATAGCTCGCTACTGGGGTGAACACCTTATTGCTCTGAAACAGTACCCGACCAGTTGCTCCGTGGGTTGAACCCGTTGTTGATCTCAAATGGAGATAACCTAGTTGATTCAGAGGTTGATGTATTGTATGCATAGTCCGCCAAAGGTAGTAGCGATGCCCAATCATCTTGCTGATAAGAACAATAAATTCTTAAGTATTGCTCTAAGGTCTGGTTCACCCGCTCAGTTTGTCTATCGGTCTCAGGGTGCAAAGCAGTCGATAACTGTAGTTTCAATTGCAATTGTTGCATCAGGCTTATCTAAAACTTGGATGTGAATCGACTATCACGGTCGGAGATAATAGATTCTGGCAGGCCATGGAGCCGCCAATCTTCCTTTACAAATATCTGAGCCAGATCCTTAACAGGGATCTCTGTAGCCAAAGGTATAAAATGTGCCATCTTTGAGAATCGATCCACGATAACCAAAATCTTTGTATACCCTTCTGATTGCGGTAGTGCGACTATGAAGTCCATTGATATATCCGTCCACGGTCTCAAGGGTATACCAACAGGTTCCAGTAGACCAAACTTCTTATGCTTAACGGATTTATTCCGTTGACAGGTATCACATGTACGAACATAGTCCATAATGCTCTCGTCCATCTGAGGCCAAAAGAAGTTAGCCCTAACCCCGCCTACCGTCTTATATGTTCCAAAGTGTCCCGCAATACGGCACTCATGTTCAGCTTCCATGATCTTATGCTTCAAATCCTGTGAGTCAGGAATGTACCACCTGTTGTTATACAGAAGGAGATCTCTTTCTATTGTCAGGTTCCGGTCGACTCCTTTGTCTTCCGCTAACACAGCCTTTAAGTCCTTCATATAGACAGGATCCTGTTTCGCAGCAATTCGTAATGTATCCAAAAGTGATGATTGTAACCAGTAGCCTTGACAGGCTGCCAATGCTTGTGGTCGTAAGAGGTCTCGCTCCTGTCCCACAATCCATTGTCCAGGGTGAAAAAACGGCTTTGGTGTCTCTGATAAAGAATTACTCCTCCCTTCAGGGCGGTGGTCTCCACGCCTCGACAGTGCATCAGCCTTCGTGTTCAATCTCCCTTCACGGTAAACTACCTTGAAATTGAACGGTTGCAGGAATTCTGCCCAGCGATGCTGTCGGCGGTTGAGGGTCTTAGTACTATTAAAGTACTCCAAATTCTTGTGATCG